AACTTTTAAATTTAAAAGTTACAAATTGCAGATGGATTATGGTCTTCTCTGAGAAGCGCTGACTATGCAGCTTCAGTATTAAAGTCACCATTCAGTCTAAAAGGGAAAGGATTAAACGGCTGTGCTATGAGTTATACAGTACAGGATCTCTGCCACATAATATGAGAAGGTGGTAATCTGTATTTGCAGGTTGCTGTTATCACTATCACCAAACAGCACAACATTAATGTAGAGATCCTTTTCTATAGTACTTTTCTATAGAATCCTTTTCTATATTCTGAAGTACTTCACATAATTCAGTGAGCTAAACCTGATAACAGTCTAGTTCTTTGTTTCACAGTTAAGAAAACAAAGATAACATAAAAACATAATTTACCAAAAGACACATCTGCAAAGTCAAGATTGAGTGAGATTCAGACCGCTTGGTTTCCAGTCCTGTCTTACAAATACAATATGCTCATTGTTCTGCTTGAAAATATTTACAAAAAACATTACAAAAACATTTAAAAATCAGTTTGAATGAAACCACAGGTTTAAAACCAAAAAAAACCCGACAAAACAAACAGGTTAAGAGTTTCATCTGCTGCATGTGATTGCAGTTAAGCAATTACAACCCCTATACTGTCAGTTTCCTATAGCATACATGACTCATGGACAACTAGCACAGTTACAGCCCTGATATGAATACAGAGAAAAGGGGGAAGCAAAAGATCCAATGCGGTGCATCCCATGTCAGGTCATTCTGCTGGAAAAAGTTATCTTGGGCAAAACACAGCTGATGGCTGAATTGAAACATGGTGCTACATACTGTAGCTAGCTCTACATAAAATCCATCAAAGCCTAACTATCCATGCTGTCTTGATACCCACCTATCTCTACATAAGCTTTTCCTCTTGCTTTTCAAAGAATGCACGAATGCCATGCTAACTGGCACATACAAACTATCATTGTTCGTTAGAAACATTCCCTGAACTTTCCCTAAATATAAGAAAAAGGAAATTATCCATATTAATTTATTTCTATTTTTATTTCCTAAATGAAAAACAGATGTAAAGATCCAAGGAAACCCCAGTGATATGTAACCATAGTTGTTGATACTACCTGAGATGCTTTATTCACAACGTTAAGAACAGAGACATAATCTTAAACATATCAGTGTTCATTTGACTGACATTCCTCCTTCTCCATGGGCCCCAGATGCTTTGGTGCACCATAACCCTGGAAACAGTAAGAACAGTAGATACAACACAAGATTTTTGGTAGTATGCAACTGAGTTGACTCATACTCTCCTACTCTGAGACACTCAATAGTAGTTCAAGGGAAGGAGCTCATGGCAGGGCCTCTCATTCTCTCCCAAAATTTTGTCCATTGTTAGTGGTATAGTGGCTAGACCCAGAACCACCAAAACTGTCCACGTGTTCTACACGAACAGCATTACATTGGTGATTGCCTATCTATCTTTGTTTTATGTTTGGACAATAAATGGAAGTAAGGGCTACAAATACATTAGCTTCCAAATTGCAAATATATAGTTTCCAGCCTTATGAATAATCATATCCAGGGTGAGACTAGGCATGTGGATTGACAAGTTATGCATTTTTGGACCATAATAATTAGACAGAAGCCAAAACTCATAGGTCTGTCTATGCATAATCTTAATTTCAGCCTTTAAAAAGTCTTGTTGTAAAATGTAAAGGAGAGTCTACTGGAAAAAGAATAGTTAATAAATACAGAGCAGAAAGAGTGCAAACTCACGTAAATTAACAGATATAATGGACTGTCCTTACCTCTACATTCAAGTTCATATTGCATTTTTTGAGTAAAATTGCCAGTATCATGCTGAGAGATATTTTTTAAGAGAATTACTAGATTATTTTTTTCCCTCAACCTCCTCCAATGGTGATATTTCACTACAGAGAGCACGTATTTATTTTACCATAAGAGAGCACTAAGACCAAAGCAATGTTATTCTGTACTCAGATGGGAGTCTTTACAACCCAAGACAAACAACAAGCTGACATTCAGCCTCTGATAGAAACTCATGATGTGCTTTAATGATTTGAATAATATTCTCACCTTCTACGAGCAGACAACTAAGCTCAAAATTAAGGGATTCACCTAAAGCTAAAAATAAAAATGAAAAAAAAAAAAACCAAAAAACAAAAAAAAACCCAGAAAGGAACTGTGTAGACACCTCTATTGAGGTACACTAAGAACTGACTAAACCTTCCTATCCAGCCTTGTAAGAGTCTTACCTACCTACCTACCTACCTACCTATTTGTCAGATTCAGGCTTCAGATTATAGTGTATTTCTTGGGTAACAGGATCTGTGCATCGCTGAATTCTATATCACGTGATCTAATAACTAATGGAAATCAATAAAGACAACAGACTGCCCACTAAGTTCACTATATATTGAGGAAAGATTCTTCCTACTATGAAAGATGGCACTAATTTAATAAAACTACTTAATTTTGAAATTCAAATAATTTTATATGCATAGTATAGTTATCAGTAAAGCACGGTGAAATACCAGGGCTAACTAATCATAAATATGGTACAATAAGCTGCAGTTATTATGCCACAGGTCTTTTCAATGCAGAGCTATGAAGATATGACATATGCTTAAAATGTTTCTGCAAGCAGCAAGAAGTTTTGGATCTAGAAAAAGAATGAACACTCACAGGATGCACAGTGCAGATATAGGTCTGAATTTTCTATGGGCATCTTCAGCTTTACACACTGAAAAAAATTCCACTCTGTTTACAATGAATATTTTCTAAGACATTAAGACAACCCCAAACACTAACACATTCTCACATAATATGATAACTGCTAAGTCCTAATTAGTTACAGAAAAAAATCAGAAAGAAACCGAGCTCTGAGCTCATGTACCTTGCATAGCCATTTGAAAAGTACCTATATGCAATGAGGATTGAAAATTTTCCACCACTTTTCGGCTCCCTGCTGTGAACAACATACTTCCTATTTTCTCTATTACCTTGAGATTAGAGCTACAGATCGTGTATTTGATAAAGACCCTGCAAGAGAGAAGTGTTAGAACAACTCAAACTGCAAAGGGCATGCTGCAGACAAAATCCCACCTATAACTCCTGCTGGCAGACCAACTGATGTACTTGTCCTTTACTCAGGACTATGCCTAAAATCACAGATTAATGCACAATGCATAACCATATCTATCATCACTATAGCAGGCTTTACAATAAATTTACTCCACAAATATACAATGTATGATAGCGAATGTTTCTGAAAAAATAGATCAGAGTTCATTTACTTTGATTTTTATTTTATTTTTATAACTCCTCTGCATATTTTAATTTATAAAATGTAATATGGACAATTTATCTTATTTAAATATTGCTCAGTATGTACTATTAATTTTTAAGAATTATTCTTAGTTAGGATAAAGATTTAATTTAAATAAATAAAGATTTAAATTTAAAATTTTTCTGCTTCTTAAAACTCCTACAACACTTGCACATACACAAATGCACATTCAAAACTGGTAAGATACACTTTTTTTTTTTTTTAATTCAGATAGGATTATCTATAAGGAGTTTGAGACACAGGTTATGTTGGACAAACAAGGTATAAAACAAAATTTAACATGATAACACTTGCTACTCTATGTCAATCTGTATATTTCAGCTTTTCCAAAACCTCTTTTTTCCCATGAAACTATTTAAACCTGATCATAAATAGCCAACAGATTTATGTATAATTGTAGTGGTTAAGAGATTGTCTCATAAAAAAAATAAATTCTGGTGTTCTTACCAGTTTTAGCGTCTTGAAAGTCCAATAGCCTATTTAAATCCCATAGAGAGATCTGATCTACCATATTCATGTATATTAAACCAAACATATTTAACCACTGCTGCACAGCCAAAGCTTAAAAGTGCTATAAATATGACTATTAATCTGTGTATACAGAAGGTGGTATGACGAAGGCTCTGAAGAATGAAGCATGATTTGCAGCACAAATTTCCAACACAAAACCAGTGCACAAAAGCACTCTGAGAGAAGGAATAGTGCAGTGATCTAATCTTTCAGCCTGCACTAACTTGTTCATCAGAACTTCATCCTTATTTGCTTTCTATACCTGCATGGCATATGTTCAATGACCTATCACACAACAGAATGCAGTATGAAATACAGACCGTCTTTGAATTGGCAAAAGTTTTAAAAAGTAAACTTTCAGATATAACATTGCTATATTATTTTAAAAATACAGGTAAAAAAATCTATGGAGCCACACAGGATTTAAAGATAATTTATTTGGTAATCTTATTTCTGGCATTCTTTTCTTAAGTAAAGGGTTTCCTACTTCTCAAAGTACTTAAAAAGAGTCAAAAAGTCAAATATAGCAAAAGTACGTGATACTTTTAGCAAAGCCGACTTCCAAGGGAACTGGCCTACTATAGAGCTCTCAGATACATATGGCTTCTCTAGAAGGAATCTCCTTACTACACTGTTGTTTTAAACCTGTACTGGTAACAGCTTAACTGAAGGAGGAGAGCACCCTCAGGAGTAACAGCCAGAGAATGAAAGACAGATGAATAGTTTTGTTTCAATTTTTAAATAGAATTAAATCCAATCAAACAACACATCTCCAACATAGTGCAAATTACAGCTTTTGACATTAAAATGACCTCACACAGCCAGAAAGGTGTAGCACTGCAGAAATTTGATAGCTATAAGCCAGAAGAAAAGTCAGAACATGTACAACTAAAAACCACAGAATAAATAAATAATCATCACCTGTAATACAGAAAAGCCTGTCTAAGAACAGCAATTACACCAAACTTACGAAGAAGCGATTGCACAAAGATCTGAGTTGCTTGCCATGCTAGAAGGTACAGACACACTTGTTTAGGAATAACAATAATACAACTGATGCCAGCACATTGGTATCAGCGTACATTATCATCTCAATAACTACGAAAGACAAAAAGTAGACTAAAAAACAGAAAAGCTCACCACTTCTTCATGCCTGCATTTTCTCACATTAATTCCATTAATCTGTTATTAAAAAGATAAAGAGAAGACTTACTCTACATTTCATAAGTATAGATTTCATTTCACTTTTCTACAAAAATATAAACAAAAGTACTTGCAATTTTACTCACCTGTAGAATTGCATCTCCTATAAAGAGCAAACCTGAAAGTTCCGCTGAAAAATGAAAGCATATTTTTCACTCATTCTGTATATAACATCCTAGATTTCTTGTACATGTATTCCTATTTAACTTAATTTTTTATATAATCTTTTAAAAATTTAAACAGAACCCTAATAAAAACCCCCAACACAAAACTTCCAGATAAATGATACGGATTTTTTTTTTTTTTTTAAATCCCCAAATACCAGCATATCCGTGTTCCCATGAAAGAGTCTACCCAGCCCAGGTAGAAGAGTATGAAACATCTTCCATCAGTCACTAGTACCTTTCAGGCCATTATGGTGAAGTATGGCATACTTTTCTGAACAGAATATGACTGCAGGACTAGGTCCTATTTGGCTGTGAGAGATCATTGCTTACAAACCCTGAGGAAAAAGCAACATGGAGGCTCCAGAGCTACTTATGAAGAACAAATTTAACTTGTAAGCTTTTATCAAAGATACTTTAAATCATGCATCTTTGACAAGATCAGTGGAATATTTATGCTGAATAACACTTCACATGCTGAAGAGCCAGACAATCAATATATTGTAGAAAATCACCAGCCAAACTGAATTTGATTTCTAAAACAAATCTATAAATCACAAAATTTAATTCTACAATTGAAATTTTTAAATATTGTGTTGTGTTACAGAGCTGTCTAATGCAAATAATACACTTTATCAATACACAAGAAATATAACAAAGATTATTTAAGTGTCCACAAAGAAATAAATAATCCCTAACATGAGAACTAAGGAATGTTAACAGACTATATGGGATTATTTATCTATAGTATTCCAAAACATCACAGTAGACACTGTCTAGAAAAGACTAGAATTGGACTTGATCCCAAAACTACTTATTTGCATGAGTTGTAAAACTGGAATCAATACTGACATAAATTCTGATACTCAAGTACGTGTTTGAAGGACTGTTACTATCTAGATGTAACAAAGGTTGCTTAAATTATTGGAGGATAAACATTCTGATTTATTACTTTTTTTCTGAAATAAATGCATATCAATATTCTTCTTCTAACACTTCATATATGACTGAATGTGCTAGCCTAAGCACCTTGTGTGCATCACTGGTTTTAAATATTGCATTAAATGTCACATTCTTCTTTAAAGGTCCGAAGAAAGAGCTGGAGTCAATTGGGAGGACGGCAGAAGCAAGCCTGCAGAGCTTTGAGGTACAGGCTCTGGGTCAAACAGCATTTTCTGTATCAAAGATCCCTAGTACAGACACATGGCACGACACTTTCTACACCACAAGACAGTAGGCTCCTACACAAGAGATTTCCCTCAAAACTAGCTCTCTAAAAAGCAGCAGTATTTTTAGTGAAAGCAGTAACGTAGATTATATCTCAGCTACGTATTGAGGTCAGAAATAATGCATCAGCTACTGCAGCGAAAAAATAACAACAAAAATAAAATAAAACAGTGTGCACTTTTGTGTGCTCAGTTAAAGTTAAATCTACATTTCTTATTTTTCCAGCGGTGCTTAATAGCATTTTAATAGCTAGTGTAGGTAATCTACGTCACATTATTATGTATTACATACTTATATGTACACTGAAATGAATGGAGTCACAAGTATAGCTTAAGTTTAAACTTACTGCCTTCCTTAGGGGCTCATTCCATGCTACCTTATAGCCTGCCTACACGCAACTTTCACATCTACCTTTCAGAGTTGGCTTTCAGTTCTCAATACACTGATTCCTCTGTACCTTTCTTTATCTGTGTGGGTGAATAGGAGATTTTTTTATGCTGTCATATTTTCGTTGTGCAAAGCAGCATCCTAGAACTATGGCATTACAGATAGAGGGAAATGCTTCCAAGTTTGTTTCTGACCTTACACAAACGTACACAAGTATACACAGAGATATTAAATACACTGTACTGCTATTGATTCACAGCCTTCATCTCTCATCATTGCGCACTTCATGAGCTGTTTAACCATTATCCATCTTCCTAGCACATATTATATCATTCCAGTTATTTAGAAATTTTGCCAGTTAAAAACAATACAGGGATTCAGCACCAGCTCTGCATGCACTAAAAATAAGTATGGTTAAGACCTTATGCAGTATCAGTTTTGCTGTGTATGAGCTGCTGCAAAGGCTTACACAGCACAGCATCTAATGCTGAAATAACACAGATGTATTACCAAGGTTCTGCCATTACTCACCCCTGTCTGAGCACTACCCTACTAATCAGTATAAAAAGACACGCGTTCTCTTCTTGTATTACGATGTTTTAATGGCCAAACATTTGATCTGCTACAGTTTCCTGGCAATAACCATTTGAAAATAAAAGACACAAAATCATTAAATTTTGTTAATTTTTAAAAATATTTTCATTCTCTAAATATCTTCCTATTTCTCTCCTTAAAAATAATGTTTTACAAGAACTTAAAAAAAAATATGTTAGTGTTTACAAAATATTCCAAATATGTGTTCTGTATTTTTTCAGAGAAAAATGTCCTTTTTCTGAGGACAAGAGAGATCGATCGTGGCATGGAGAGAGAAATGGTACACCAATAGTATTTATTTAACCCTTCCTGAAGAATGTCAAGGTTTAACACACCTTGCTTTAAGGAGCATGTCAAAACACAGTGTATTACTCTGACACCCACCTCTTTGTTCTTTGGAAATCTTAGAAATGACCACTGGAATATTATGTTCTGCTCCACCCTGAAAACAGAATAAATGGCAATCTCGTCAGTCACTGGAAATATGTTTTTACTTAAAATTATATTTTACCCTTGCTCTAACTGCAGTTTTCAGACAGACACAGAAAATAACTGATCGCACATTTCCTCTTTTTTTTTTTTAATAAATAGTTGATTGGGATTAATTCCTTATTGTCTCTCATAAAGGAGTTCTCAGTTGCCATGATCAGCTCAAGACTTGAAGAAAATTGACATCCGTTTCTGTGAATTCTAGAGAGCTTAACGTATGAAACTGTGTCCTACAAAAGCAAAATGGCCATCACGCTACAATGGCAGCCACACTGTGACCACGTAATTTTCATGCTGGTAGGAAACAAGTAAACAAAAGCCCAAGAAAAGCAAGTTTGGACTTTTCATCTTAAAAGCAGCCTTTATTTGTTTCCGTCTCTGCCACACAAGCACAAAGAGTGAACAAAGCAGTGGGATAAGTAACAAGAAACAGAAAAAGAAACTTTAAGAAATGGAACGGTAGGTGTTCAATAAATAGGGGCAATAAAGGAAAGATGGACAGTAATTCAACAGTTCGACAGCAATTCAATGCTGTTGCTTCATTTGATTTATCCTATTGGGACTGGAAACTTTCATGGTGCTTAAGAATAAAGTATTAAAAAGAAACCTTAAATAAAAAGGAAACTCAAAGGAAGAGAAAGGCAAATGTACACAGAGACACAAATATTTTTTTCCTCTGTAGAGAGCATCAAAGTGTAAGCATGTATGTAACCTGTACAAATTCAGATAATCAGAAATTACAGTCTGCCACACTGTCATTTTCACTAAGAATCCTGGTTAAGGATTTGCTTACTCTTCAGCAGCCAGATTTTTCTTTGGGAACAATGGCTTTCTTAGGTCCAGGCATCCAGTGTCAAAGTGTGGAAAGGATTGACATGGGTATTTTGATGGTCTAAGGAACAGTACATATCCCTTCTTCATGCAATAACCAATTGTTTGAAACTGAACAGACTCCTGCACTCAACAGCTATTGCTGTCATGGAATAAAGATTAATTTCCTGTGAAACCATAGAATTTTAAATAAGATTAAAATTCCTTCTGCTAGTGGCTATTGATGCAAATGGTCCTAAAAACATTGAGTTAACAAGGATCTCAGGAAGATTACAACAATTATATGTCTACAAGAAAAGTTCTATTGGCATTGCGTGAGATGAGCATCTTCATGCACAGAATTGATATCTCTAGCATGCACTGAGTATTTGCTCCACAAAGACCATAAGGCTACCTTGACTTCAGTCAGGGTTAGAGATTTATTTAGACTAAATGAATTGTACTATTAAAATCTGTTTAATATCTTTCAATGATTTTCACCAGAGGAACAGCAACAGTAAAAGTTGGCTTCACTTAAGATAATCAGTTCAAACTCACTAAATTTATAAGACTTAACCTACACCCTCCAGATTTTTCCTTAGTCATATGCACATTTATTTTCTTCCAAGTTTTTAAATCAAAGAGAAAAGCAATTGTGTCAGTTCCTTTCCTAAGTCTCCAATGTTACTCAGAGATTGCACTATCCAGGACATTTGAAGCTCAGCAAAGGAGTGCAGGGTTTAAAGTTCAGCATAGCTACCACAGGTCCTTTTCTCTCAATAAAATGGCCTCCCTCCCTCCTTAGCTCTCCAGTAGAGAAGGAAATTACTGTTATTACTACACCAGCCTGCAATGCACACACAATGATTATTCCTCTCTCACTCACTATATCTATCTACAGCCATTTACACTGCAGACTTGAAGAAACATCCTACTGAAGAAAATTACTTCCTCTCACTGCATCCCAGTCTGCCCAGTATAAAGGATTCCTTTTTAATTAGTCGTAGGAGGTGTTCCCTGATATTCTAAGAAACAAAAATTCAATATGGGAAAAAGAAAATAGTTGACCACCTATCTATACCCAGTCATCATTAACAATTTGCAGCAAGCTAAAAAAGCTCTATATATTCTTGCAAGAACCGTTTGAATACTACTTCAGATTGACACTGCAGCCTTACATCCTGCACTCTCCATGCTTGATTCTCTGTCCTGTAGAAGAAAATGCGTATGCATGTCTAAATTCTGTTTTTATAGGCTCAGGAGATACTCTAGTTGAGAAACCTCTGGGAACAATGGCCATTTTTCCATTGTTTTAAAATTTCCCTCCCTCTGCTGTGGACACGTAGTTATAACCTCAGACCAGAGAAGGGAACAAAAACATGTCAAGTAATGGTGTTGAATTCTTAAGGGCTCAGACCTCTACCAGAGTGTAACACCATCTTTGTAAAATTTTCTTTGTCCTTTTTCCTTAAGGAGGTAAGGATGAGCCTGGAATAAAGAGAGCTGCCCATCTGCAGAGGTGGTCCTGCTAGAAGAGGCAGAGGAAGTTCTAATCCCTGGCAGCTGTTTGAAGCTCACTGTCCTGAATGTTGGCCCTTACTGGTGGGAGGTCACCCACACCTCCTTTCAAAGTGACGCATGATAGAGTTCTAAAGATTTTTTTTATTATCCCAGGTTTTATGTACGAGGGGTTTTTTTTTGAAGTTTTAGTCATATGAAAAACAGGGCAACTGAAACTAGTAACTTTTATTGACAAATGCTCATTTTGTGTTTGGCTCCAAGTATAGTAAGAAAATTATTATTTTGCTTTTCTAGATAGACAGAGAGAGTCTATAAAAATTAGAGCAATTGTTGGACTTTAGCATCCTCAGACTTAGACAACATAGGGGACATTTTTATTTCATACTAAAAGCCAACATTTATTTCACTAACAAAAATGGGCCTATTTGTTTGTTTTAGCTTTAAGGTCTACTGGCATAATATGGTTCATGTCTATGAGGATAAACTATCTTCCCAACTGATAAAGGGTGACTTTATACATGTCTATTGGAAGCAGTCCATGTAAAGCTCTGAACTGTGATCACGGACTGTCTTAAAGAAGACTAGTTGGTGTAAGCCAAAATTGTGCCAAGAATCATGCTAGCAATTAAACAATATGGACAAAATTGTGCCAATGTTAATTGGTACTTTTACACTTTTTTTTTCAATAGAATAGCATACTTCAAACCAAAATGCCACTACCAAAATGCACTCAACAATTTCCAGAAGCACACAAGCCTTTAAAGATGAAAATATAATTTTTTTAAACTAAAAGCAAGATGATTCATGTATTAATGAAAACTTTATAGCCTTTTAACTTTATTTTTTATTGTTTCAATTTTAAACACAGAGAAAATGTGTTAATAAAAAAATATCAAAGAATGCATGAAGAGGAAGAGAATCATCTAAGTATGTGCATAAGTGTGAGCAGGACAGGTGCACATGCTTGCTTTACAGATTTTTTGATTGAGTCAAACTTTGAAAAGTCAAACTGAATCTCAGCAGATCTGTGATGCTGTTCATGATTTAAAAAGAATGATCAAAACAGAGGCAGGAAAACGGCACTGTACCAAGTTCTGGCAGGAAAACGGCACTGTACCAAGTTCTGGTAGCCAGGAGTCAGACTGTAACTGCAATCCTTAATTTATTTAATGAACTATCAATTTTATTGCCCATCTCCACAAGAACACTACACTCCAATTATTGAGAAACATGATGTTCTTTCAGAAGTCATAGCTTAGCAGCTTCTTGTGTCAAATCTCTGCATCTCAAACTTGTCAGAGATTTGATAAATGACTGAAATATTACACCACACTTATCAATTTCTACATCTAACTCCATGGCTATTCCTTCACACACAGAGGTTTATTACTTAGGATTCTAAAGAGGATTCAGAAATTAGAAAATAATTCCTTCTGAAGAGTGTAAAGCAGATCAGTTTTGCTTCAAATTTAATCACACTTTTACCATTAACTTCAGTAAAATGAAGTATAGCAAAATACAAAACAGATAGTTTTTGTTCTTTCAGACCTGCAAAGAGTGGATTATAAGCAATTTTTTGAAGAGTTTAAGTTGGGATCTTGTGCAAAAATCAATCCCATAAGCAGTTTTTTAAAGCACTTTTAGCTGAATCTCTGATTTTTATAAATACAGTTGGAGCATCTGAGTTATAACAGAAAAGATGAGTTCTGTTCATAAACAAGTCACCAAAAGATAACTGGACAGTTTCATTTCAGAATTATTAACATTTTGACCTTCTGCTCGTCGGGGAGGGAAAAAAATCCAATGGTCCAGAATACTTAAGGTGGGATAAGACACTTCCCAAATTTACTCCAGAGACAGTTAAAAGGTGACTTGATCATGTGAGATTTCTGATAACTAATGGGTGTTTTAATTAGCAGGGGAAAAAAAAGGCATGATAATACCCTAGAGCTCAATGTCAAATCTAGAAAAATTAACATCAAAGCAGCAGCAAATATTTTAAAGTAAGGTTCATTAATCAATGTACTGGTATAACTTCACATCCTAGATAAACTGCATACTCTGACATACACCACTACCAGAAATAAGTCTTCAGATAACCCTCATCTTTAAATAATCTGAGAGTAGCAAGAGAACAGGAACTACTGCAGCACGTGGGGTTGTGGGAGATAGAGTTACTGAAACAAGGAGGAACTCCTACAGAGTGACGTGTGGATCTCTAAGGCATTATTACAAAATAATGACTTTTCTATTTAAAAATAATAATAAGTCCTTTATTAAAGTACAGGAATCTTCCAAAACAAAACAAAAAGTAAAAAAAAAAGTAATGAACTGTTATTCATCTGCAAGAGGAAGCATACCATGACTGAATAGTACCTTTTAAAACAGAAATCTGGCACTTTTCAGAATATTTGGAACTGACATTGAGATTTCAAGGAACACCTAAAAAATCCATTTCCAGGAGTCTTCATAAACTTTGCCTAAAGAACTGCAAAAAGCATTACTTTAAGTACCAGTTCTAAGTTGTTTCTTACTACTAGCTTAAAATTATAATAGCAGATTATATTAATTACTAATTTGTTTTAGATTGTCTTGGCTATCCAGTTGCTTGTCAATCTTTCTTCTTGAGAATGCAGGATTACTAATAAAGGGATTGAGTAAAATAGGTCCAAGGTTCATTGATTTTTTTTAAAAATAAATATTTTTTTTAAAATAAATCATATAGCCTGATACACATCAACAGAATATCCCAGACCATAGAATTCTGCTCACCATTTTCATTATCTAATCTATACCGTCCAAGTAAGTTTGAGTTTCCTTTGTTGAAAGAGATCTCTTTTGTATTAAATGACATCTGTTGAAGGGATTCCATCATCTGATTGTTAGTTATTCCAAAAAATTAAAAATGAAATTGTCTATCCATGCCTGAATTTATGTAGCCTCACCTTTCAACTACTTAGATTAATTTTTATCAAAATATCTATGCAATGAAATAAACCAAGAAAATATTTTTAAACAAAAGTTTAATTTAAAGCCTTTATTTATTTGTAAATTCAATTGCAGTTGCTTCTAATACACTTGATATAGTTGACCTTATTTAAAAAAAAAAAAAAAAAAAAAAGATAATTTCCCTTCCAGGCTGAATTCACAATTTGTTTTGGCACTTTTAAATACTTTTGCAACTTCCAAGAATTTTTTTCAGAACAATGGATATCTTGCTCAAAAAAATTAATATCTTGCTCTACTAATTTAAGAAAGACCATCTGCACATTCAGTATTTAATTCATATTTCTCAATGATATTTTTCAATACAATGTACTTACATAATGATACTTAAATACTTATACTTAAATAATGTAATCTTGATCTTGTCAGCAATTCTAATTCTAAAAGATAACCTGTTGTCCTGGTTCTGGCGAGGATAGAGTTAATTTCCCAAGGAGCCAGGACAGGTGAGCCAAGCTGGCCACGGGGCTGTTCCATACCATGTGACGTCACGCTCCCATCAAAGGGACAGGTCGGTGAGGCTCCAGGATGGTATGAGTGTGGGCTGAGCATCCGGTCAGTCGTCAGATTGGTAAATTGCTTTCTGTTATCACCCGTTGTGTATATTCCATTATCAGTACTGCTGTTGACTGTTTCCCTCTCCCTTTGCTGTCCCAGTAACCGGTCCGTACCCCAGCCCGCGGGCTTTGCCTTTGTCTGCCTGTTCTCCTCCCCATCCCGCCGGGGAGGGGTGAGAGAGCGGCCGCGGGGTGCTCAGCTGCCGGCTGCGGCAAAACCATGTCATCCATTAAAACATATAACTAAAAAATAAATTTTAATGACTTTATATGAGATTTGCTTTCCAAACCTCAAAAGTCCTTACTGTAACCAGTTATTTCTTAGCACCAGCTAAACAAAACCTCATTCACCCATATACTTGATTTTACACTGACATACCTTACTTCATTGTTATTCAGTGAACTGTAACCTATAATGACATTGCAGGAAAATAACTTGTGGGCTAAACTAAATAACTTGTGACTAAACTAATGAGAAACTTTAGCCACAAAATAGTAATTAGTTTTCCTTGAATAAAGGCCTTTAGTGGGTCAACAAGATAACAGCAAGTGTACCAAGACATATTTTAAAAACTAGTATTTCTATTCAGCAATAGTCTTATCAATGACAACACAAATGCACATTAATCCCTCTTCTGAGTCACTACTTATAAGGTCAGTAGTAGCAGATGTTCACAGGAAAGTCTATACTCTCACTTTATATGCATAATTTAAGCCTCTTTGCATTCATGTGAAGTACACTTCACTTTTTCCATTGCCATCTTGAAGTTGAGGACTGCTGTGTTTAGAAGTTAAAGTTGTGTTGTCTACACCGAGATTCAAAGCAAAGGTAAGGTTTTCAAGATCATAGCAATATAGATTTATAGAAAGGCTATGATGACAACAATGATTAAACCTTTTTCCTCCCTCATCTGTTCCTCCCTCAAAAAGGATCACATACATTTACATATGTTCTTAAATCTTACTGAAGAAAGCAAAAATATGGTAAGATGATAAATTGCTGTCATTGCTTGATCTACAGCAAAACAAACAATATGATAAAGCAATAACACTTTCTGTCCTACTAATGAATTGCAGTGAATTAATGTGATATTCTTTGAAGGAGAATTGATGATTAACTTATTGGCTGTTCCATGTGCCTGCCACTGTAATTTAGCATTCGTTAACAACCACTTAAATAAGAGTGCTGTTGAACAAAAGTAGAGTCTGTGCAGTTGCACTTTTCAACTTTTATATCAAACCTTATTACAATATCGCTCAGCTTGAATCTTAAGGGGATGATCTTTCCATTGCCTTCCATTCCACAGGGCATTGTAGTTGCTGGTTGCCCATCGTGACACTATCTAACATCCTAGAACATGTTTGCTTTATTGTTTCTAGTCCTCTAAAATATAGTTTTTCCTCATTAAAAGTAATATTAAATATACAAGGACACTTTTTGTTTAACATGGAATAATAGACAAAAAAAATCATCCTACCTTTATACTTAATCCAAATCCTCCTACAGTCTGTCTTCTAATTGTTACCGTTCTTTCCTGGAGGGGGGGCAAAAAAAAAATCAAGTTTTGTAAGATTTAATGTTTTCTGCCATAACATCTATATTCATACTTCAATAAGTTGTTTCTGTGCTACCATCCTACATTGATTTTTCTTGTTTTAATAAACTGGTGAGTTCCTGAATGTGAAAATCCCATGAAACCTATGCTGCAAGGGAAAAAGACAGTCTGGAAGAAAAGCAGAGGTCCTGTCTTAGACAAAAATTCATTTGTTCAATTCATACCATACTGGCTATACGTACACTAGCAGGTACGGCAATGCAATAAGAACAGAACTGCAGGGTTTAACAGTTAGTCCACAACACATGCATTTCAGAGGTCTTAACTTGGACTAGTCCTAAATTGGTCCCATCTGGAGACTGAGCACTACATGCTGAAGTACATAAACTGCACTCCTGTAGCACATTTTCCAATTTAGTTTCATCCAAAAGCAATACAACTTGTCTACTCCAAGACCACTCAGTGATGTGAACCAAAGCATGATAAGTGCACATGATCCAGAAATTCATTTCAAAGCACAGACATGATTCAAAATAAAAAACTAATACAAACACAGCCCCTGTTGACCTCAGAGCTATGGTTTTAAAATAGTAATCAATGAGTTAAAGGGTGTTGTTACAGATGGAATTAGTTAAAGCTGCCTGTTTTTTTCCTTTTATTGCTCATCCTAAATTTTCTTCTGTAAAAACTGTAGGCTAGTATCTGTCTTAGACATGAAAATTTACAAAAAAGACTTTTTTTCCTAGTCTGTCTTGTTGACTTTATTCCCAAAGATCATTTAGTATTAGTCAATTTGGTTAGCAGTAAAAAATCTTAGTAGCAGATATATCATATGCCCAGATACAAATACATGGAACTTACAGGTTTTTAATGCCCTCTACATGTGGTCTAGATTTTATACTCATTTCATTATATATATATTGCATAGCATAAGTCTGCATATATATTTTATCTATATATGTTCATATATTTCAGCACAAGCAGCATAGATTGCCGGTGTCAGTCAGATTCAAATAAGTCTCTCATCAGACACATACCAGTGACAGAAGATGAAATCTCTACAGAGCTATTTTTTCATATACACAAAGGAAAAGAAAGGATGTAGGGCTACCACATAAGAATTCTGGAAAACTGATATTCCTGAATTTCAGGGGAAAATCCAGTTGCATTCTTTTCACATTTGTGACAAATATAAATTCTGTAACTGCAGAAAGAGCAAGCATAAACTAGTTCTATGTTTTGGATTGCAAGACAAAGTGGATTGCCTAAAACGAGACTTGCCATTTATTTAATTTGGCTAATGCTTGTAAATGTTTAATTTAATAAAGAGGTATATAATTTTGCTGCTAAATGGCCAAATGTTTCAGTTTCTTTTTTTTTTAACATTTGAAATGCTTGGAAAAAAAAAACCAACTCATAATTGTAACCCACGAATGAATGTGTAGCACAGTAGTAGAGGAATATATGGCTATCCTGTTTCCCACATGTGCTTCTGCACTGTTCAGAGGGACCAGAAGAGCCTTCTCTGCTCTCAACTCACACCTTCTAGGAAGCAACTTTCTTAATGAAGTTCCCAGAAACTTGGTTACAGTCCACAAAGTTATTTCACTTTAGGCCACAAACTGCACTTAGAAAACCTTTTGTCTGCCAGGAGATTTCAGCCACAGGTAACGCTGCAGACAATATATTCAGGATAAACCAATATAGGCCACACTCTGATGTGTGGTCTAAGCTGAGATGACATAAATGAACATGAAAAACTCAGCTGTGGTTTCACTGGTAGCTGTATTTTTCCTGTTAACTCCACCTCATTTCCATCTCCAGCTTGTGTTGACCATCTAGTTAAGAAGAGAATCTTGACTTGTACACTCTAGTCTATACATTCTAGTATTTTTGTATGTGACTTTTTGTATGTAACTCACAAAAAACCCAAACAAAGCTTCATCTTCAGTGCCATCTTCAACCGAGGTGAACTGAATACATCTTGTCTGCAAAGTACTATATTTTTATGTAAAATAATATTTTATATATTAATTAAGAAGTTTGACTAGCAAACTGAAGCAAATTATTTTGTTCTGATGCCTTTAATTAGCATTTCAAATGAACAACAATAATAAAATGCTTTTCACTGGTCTAATAGATAAAATATGGTGACAACTCTAGAAGGTAACACATTTTGTACCAGTAAAGACGTGCTCTAAGTAGCTTGATTGACGATTTATTCTGTTCCAGGTTAAAGTTGCAGACTACACAAAATGTCCTGTGAGCTTGTAATTACATTGTCACATTTGTTATATACATTACACCAAACAAAGGGAAAGTTAGAGCTCTTAGGATCTTTAAATGCAAGATTCAGAGCAGTGTTTTAGATGCTGCTTCCTGGATCAGAACAAAAATAGTTATCATTTTATTGAAGAACTCAAAGCTGCTGCCAAGCTGTCAGCATTTTCCATGCCTCTAAGTCACAAAATTCCTCATCCACACATATGTTCATTGACTGGAAAGGAGAGGTAAGCGTTTTGCCAAAAATATTCTTCCTCAGAGCTACGCAGTGAAACAGAAGCTATGTTTTTTAGGCTTTCATTAACAAGGTATTAAAATCCATATGATCTTCTTGAGATCATGGACATCATCTTAAATGAGATTAGAAGTGAAGAATGACCTTTTGCGCACATAGCCACAACAAATAGTCAGAAAAGGAAAACACAGAATCCTATGTAATCATTAACTGTTATTTTTAACAGTTAAATCTTAGAGCACAGTAAAGATTCAAATATTACCTACTCACTGGTATGTGATGTAAAAGAAAGTTTGTAATTGCTTAACTGACTCTTAACAATAACAATTAATTAGTAATACTTGCATATTATTTATTCTGTATAATATAAACCAGTAAATGTGATCTAATGATCTGTCTCTCTAAAAGTAGTCAAATAATAGTTGAACAAAAGGACAAAGAAACTTCAAAACTCTCAATAAAACTGAGTGAAAAGCATGTGAAACTTCAATATTCCGTTACTCAACCTTTTTCACTAGGATATAAATATTACATTTTCAGTTTGTGACACTGGTGTGTCTGGTTATTCATCTTACAAGAGTAAAGGTACGAAGAATTAATCCAAGTCCAGACAGAAAACAAGACCTCTCTTTTCACACTGGATAGAACAAACACTAAGGAAATGTACATACAGAAGAACATGGAAAGAAGCTGAATGGGTGCAGAACAAAACAGTAGGTGGGAAAAGAGGAATAGACACAGAGAGGAATCTACAATGGCACAGTGACATGGAAAAATGGAGGGAAAAAAAGGAGGAAAATGTAAGTATATAATTTTTAAAATGTAATAATGAACTATAAAGATATAATCGACACATTGGCAGCAACTTCATAGATTAACCTGTTGACATTTGATGCCATAATATCTTTGAGAACATGCTTTCATGTAGTTTATCAGCTATTAGTAATCCCACTACATTCTGAAATGGGAAAATGCAATAAATTCCATATATAATTCCCATTGAATTATTTCATACATTTTCAAGAAGGGAGACTTTATATCCCCTTTTTGGTAATGCTTTGCTCTCTCTTACTGGCATTTCTTTAGGTTAATTGACATGAGCAGTCAAACCTTACACTCATTCTGAGTGTAAAGGACACAGGACACAGGTCAGTCACGTTTCCAATTTGAATTAATAGTGTTAACAAGGTTTGCCAGCAGACTTGCTCATCTGCTAACAACTTCTGTCGTGTGACATTCAAAGCTTGCCTCCTTATTCAGTTCTCATACCACTGGAGAAGGTCGGCAGTAAGGGATGGTGGCAGAATGCCTGGTCAACTGGGAATCCCCGTTCTTCTGCAGCCGTGCTGGAGACTGAGGACAGTCAACACAGCTGTGTTGTGTAGACTGTTATCACTGACTGGAACGAGCAAGAGCGCTCCACCCTTCATTTGTTCTCACTTCAAAATGTTCCCAGTCCTACAGCATATGCCTAAAAGCAGAAAAATTTGCCTAAATACCTACTTATAAAAATTTTACTCCTAGGATTGATTTATTTCAAAAGTACTGCATTTCTTAACATAGAAATAAAAGAGAAAAAACCCACAAACCCAAAGTCAGTATAGATCTGAATTCCCACCAGGCTTGGTAACGAACACTCTCTGTAGTTCTGTGACAGCCGTAGTTTCCAGCTACTGTCTCACATCATACACTGCCATGAATCAATGCTTTGGGTTCTCCAAGTGTATTCTGGTTTGCAAGATTTTTCTTTTCTGTGGGGGAAAAAAAACTTCTTCCAATGAGAAGAAGCCAAATTTGGCTTTACAAACCACAGTGTATTCCATTCAGTCCTGTGTTTGAACCTCAGTAGATTTCTATGCTTTTTATATTATAGTAGCTGGCTTAGGTTGTCCCTAAATAATCATATTTACATCTGTCAGTTCTAGGTTGTCACTTAAAAGCTGTCCAGATTGGCAGCGGGGAAAAAAAGTTACCACCATCTGATAGATATTTGACAACTTCTGTGAAGAAATGGATTCACTCCACTGAATAGCTGACAGATACCAACATGATAAAAAAAAAAAAATCACCGTTCTTACTGGTAGCTTTGTGATGGTACCAAGAATGGAAAGTGCTTGAAAGGTGACCTATCTGTTCACATATTTGCAATTCTCTCCAGGACAGGGAGTTTCACTTTGGCACCGTTCATACTATGCAATCACACATCAGAATCAAAATAGTAAATAAATATCAAAATAAATACAATACAGAAAAAGAATCAAAAACTTGTTTACTATTTTAAGCTTTTAACTTTTTTCTTCACCCTTTTTTTTACTCATTAACATTACTAATGTTAATTGAACTTGTTTTACATACACTAAAATATATGAAAAGAAAATTTTAAACTCACAATAAGAATGACCCAAGGTAACAGATTTAAAATTCACTCTTAGGAAGTCTCCAAAACTCTAAAATGTGCAAGTAAGGATAATGTAATAACTGCTTCTGACTGCTCAGGCAAGTCACAGTTAAGTGATATGTTCTGAATTTAAACATATACTTAAAAATTAACAATTCCTTTATAATTTAAATAAAAACATCATGAAAAACATGCTATTGCACAAAGTTTTTAAGTTGAAAAACTATCATTAATGCAACTTATCTGTTTTCTAATACCATGTGGGCTTTGTATAGAGTTATAAACCTTTCAACACAGTTGATTTCACACAAAAGGACGATTTTTAAAGTGAGATATAATATGTTCTTATCTTTACAAGAAAAAGAAGAATTAGTGTGCAATTAATAATGTCAGAAATCAGATCTGGCTATAGATCAACAATTTAAGTCAGTGTTGCTTTCTGACATTGTAAAAGGTGCTTATTGATGAAGGCTTTTTATCTATCAAAAATCCAATTACGGTCCATAGGTTACATTCAGATATATTTGTATCATCAACCTCAGTTAAATGCTTGGACAAATGCCATACTACTCCAAGAGTTGTTGCTCTATAAATTCACAAAAATGTGCATTCACCTTTAATAGTATTGAAATTATGAATGATCTTCACATCAATCTCCCCAAAAGATCCTTAATTAAAAAAAAAAACGCTAAAAGAAATTATTAATGCTTAATTAAGTAATGCATTGCTACATAGCAGCATAGAATTACATTCAAAAGAAATGAGAATCATCTGTATCTTATCATCAGGTGAGTTAACAGTATTTAGGAAAATCTGACTCTTTAACAGAACCTTTAAGAAAATTACATTAAAATTCAAACTGTCCTGGTAGCTGAACTTAGCAAATTGCCAGCTGCTCACAGTTTATTTTCAGTCTTTTAAAAAATCAGTAGCTAATTCAATCATCCATCTTGTCAGATGGTACATTGTCATATCCTTGGTTTATGGATCTCAAACGTACGTATACTCTATTAGAAAAATTTCTGAGTATGATTAGCAAACAAATAAAATCTATCAAAGAAAAAAAAAAGTCTCCCTAGACAGATAAACTACTTTTCTTGATAAAACACAATAATCCTTTTACTTGAATTTCAGATGTTCATGAAAGGTGATAGAAATTGTGAGGATTAACTCTACAATAAAATTTTTTATTCCAGAATTACAAAGATTAAAACCTTTCCTAGGAATACATCTACTGAAGCATCATGTTTCTGATCAGACACACCATATCTTAGCTTATCCCTCCTCCCATCATAATTTTCAGCAAGGTCAGTATTAGGCTATCCTTGTTAGTCCAGGCTATCGGTATACACGTCTAAAAAGACTCGGAGTTGCCTTATTGCACATTGTCCTCTGGAACACCATATAGCAAATTTTGTGAGTATAATTTCATGTAATTGAAGAAATATGTTTAAAATAAAATATAAAATAAAAATCTTCTATACTTCTGCCATCGATACTGATGAAGTCCCTACATGGTTTAATTCAGTTGTTTCCAGTGCACTTCTTTTTCAGATGAAGAGTAAAAATCCTAACTGTATTGTACCACAAGTAACTGTCATGGGGATTTATGATTATTATAATTATAAGAAAGCTGTCTGTTGGTAATACATCAATTAAGAAAAAATATTTTGTGAGGGTCCAGTACTTTAGGGGAGAAAAACGTGTCCCTGACCTAACAGGCACCGGTCTTACCTCCCAATTTTCCCACAGACTCATGGATATCTTCAGAACACAATGTGTTCTGACTCAGGCACGCACTTGCCATATCCTAAAGCCCTTCTACAGTCAAGGATTTAATTGGGATTAGTAAAGACACTGCCTTCTAGGCTTTGAATTTCACAAAATGTTCTAATCTCACTTTTGGTCATTCACACTGGATTTCAAGTCTACATCAGATATCCACTAGTAGCATGATGTAGTACCCACTAGGTTTCTATCTCTTGGAAAGCAAGTTTTTCTTCTTGCACTCATGAAGAAATCTCTGTAATAATTGCTGATGCAACTGATGCTCAAATTTAGATCTAACCCATGATTGGTTGAATGATCTTTGAAGCTTTATTTATTTAGGAATTGCTACAGGTACAATTTCTGCAGGACCTTCACTAACACTATCATTTTGTTCAGCCTACTAAAGAAACAGATGCTTTCCTTTTTAGTATTTAACACTGTTTATGTTGCTTATAATCTTTTATGTATTTTATTTTCTTACTCCAAACTGTATACAATGAAAGAAGAAACAAGGTTCCTTTGCACCTCTTTAATTTTGGGAAACTAGAAGTGTTTTCCACCAAAAAGGAAGTGTTCTAAATTAAGAACTAGGTCCTTATCCTATGTACTCAACGTTAAGCAGCACCTCATTCCTAAGGAGCCATTGCTTTCATTTAGATTATTCCGCAGGATGGAGATCAGGATACTGCTGGAACGTTAAGTGTCTGTTTAAAGTCTGTCCTACACAAAGGAGCACGCAAATTGATTCAGACCCAACAAACAGAAGAAACACTGTTCTGAACTAGAAACATAGTAATAGCCTTTGGTTCCTTAACAGTGGAGAAGTGATTAAGTAAAACCTTATAATCAAATTATTTGAAGATTATTTATTAAAACGGATTAAAAAGAACATTTACTGTAGCTACTTGTATGTAAAATTTAACAATGCTATTGTTCCTCAGTTACAAATTTTAATTTTGTTCTTTAGAGTTTATTCTATGAGGCATTCAATGTCAGTTGCTAATGAAAATACTTGCTGTTGCTCTGCAGAATGCATGTAAAGAAAAATAGATGTGGTCCGTCATCTAGAATGACAGAAAGAACAAAACAAAATCAACCAAGCAAAGTAAAAGATAAGAAAAACAATCAATCAAACAGAAAACAGAAACCTAGTAGATCAGGAATAAAAATGAGGAAAAAAATGCAAAAAATAGGAATCCTGTGGGACTTGTCTGATCATGCTATACAATCAAAGCATATGATTCCAGATGATGTAAATGACCTGTGACAAAAGGACAGTCAGCGGTCTGTGAATGCCAGCTGGAATGAACCTACCGATTCAAGACCTAGTCTTAATTCCACAGGAAATGAGAGTACAGTGCTCAAAAGTCAGTAGCCTAACAATGACACCTCCAAGAGAAAAGAAACTCCTCATCACCACACTAATATCAATCAGTTAATGAGTTATGCATTGAATATGCAAATAAGATAGGGGGAGTGTAATTGGTGAAGAAAATCTTCCATTGTTTCCTAGAGTGCCATTGCAAAACTAGAGGGCAAAACTGTAAGAGAAAGCCTTGCTGTGAAATGGAAAAAAAATAAAATATGCATTTCATGAAGACATTCAAATAACAAGCTCAGCAGAAGTAATAGATGTTACAGCACAATAATGAAATTCGTATTTTTGAGTGATAAAATCTTTTAATACATAATGCCAGAATGGGGTTGGTGAAGTAATGGTGCCACAGTGTGTGTTGCTAATTGAACAAGTATAGAGTGAGCTTGAATTCATAATCTCTTTCTCTCTGGGCTGCTAGATGTCCTGTATGCTGAGGAACAGTACAGTCTGATTGGTAAAAGGAGCATCTATATTCCACATACAACATACAGACCTGTATTAGTAAATTGTACTTGTAAAGCATGGAACTGTCAAAAGCTAATGTCAGATTTGCCAGGCAAATAAACCTAGCCAGTATGGAGACAGTGTAGGCAGTGTGCTCCTCTTGTTTCAGAGAAAAACTCAGAACCATTCACCTTGAGATGTTCGTGACAGTGAGACGGATTCTCCTATACATTTTCCATTAGTCTTCCACATTGTTAGCACTGCTAATATTATACCAATTTATTTCTGGTTTCTGCTTTGTGTCTTTTTATTATACTTGTATGTAGAGATACAGGGATGTGGCAACAGCAGCAATTAATTAATAAAACAGACAGACATAATAGCAGTCACACAACATTTGCATAATCAGATACTACACTACTATACCTCACATGATTTAACATGAAATCCTATGATAATTTTATTTAGCTCAAAGGCAGAGCAGAATGTTTATGAATCTTAAAAAAATCTCTACAAAATATAATTACAGTATCTATGGAAATGTCTATATAAATGAATCGTAAATGGTTTCTATTACTTTTCTTAGCTATCTTCTAGAATTAAATAAAAACTTAGCATTACAATAGTTCCAAAATCTACAATATACAATTTTTCTGATCTTCCAAATAATTGTCTACAAAGCTCAGTTTCTTATCCACAAAATTCAATATGATGCTTAAATAAGAAATCTGACACTTCATGTAAACCCAGTAATACATAAATCACACTATTACGCTGTTCCAGCTGAAGTCCATCTTTATCAACATGATGTGCTGGTAAAACTAGTGATACTCGCAGCATGGACTGGCAACATGCATGATGTGCTACCATACGAAGCAACCAAAGCAACAGAGGATAGCAGATAATTCTTCTACCAGCAAAGCCCTGCCATAACAGTTAACCATCAACTGTCTTAGCAGCTCCACAGACAATACTCAGATATCTAAGTACATTGATGTAACTGGATTCACTGCTAAAATCACTGCTTGTGTCATTCCTATCACATTCAGCGGCTCCAGTATTCAAGGGAGCAGAGAACAATACTGTAGTCAGGCGTATAACTTATTATCTTACTGCTGCTGCTTACATGAGTATTGCGCAGATTTGTTCTCAAAAGATCATATATTAAAATACACTTAGTGTTAACAGTATAAAATGAAATATCAAACTGCGGGAGTAAATGCATACATATGTATGTGCGTGTGCATGCACACACACATACACAGAGAGTATTTTTGCTTTGTATAAAGTACATCTTAAAGAAAAAAAGAAAAACTACTTACACCAGAATAGAAAGGCTCACCAGACACACAGATCACATCCTGCTCCTGGATCATCAAAATATCTTTGGCTAAGTGCAGTCGTACTTTGAAAGGCTCCTGGTTACCATCCTGCAGCAAACAAATCCCTGTCTTTGTCTTCAAAGGAAGGCATAAAGAAAAAAAGTTTTCTCAGTTAGCACTTTGCATTGCTAGAAGCAGTATTTTGAAACAAAATAGCTGAAATAGGTACAGTTACCATAAATATGTCAACAAATACCCCAAACTATTACCAGTGATCACTGTATTTAGTGTGCTGAGACTACAAGAGAACGATGGTTACGAAAGCAGATTTGCAATAATAGGGTGCTATTTTGCCCATGATGAATTTGTGAAACTCCTTCCAAATTGCTTCAGAGCAGAGTGTCCCTACTTTCCATCTTTGTATTAAATGATGATACCTCACTTGGACATGAAATAAAAGCTGATGTTCCACATATTACACCAATTTTCACAGAGAAATACATAAAATAACACCTCCAAACTAGCCAGGTGTAAGCAGTGACAGCCTACATGAATCTGTTGTGGGCTTCTCCTGATCTGTGAGTATAACACTGACTTATGCTTTTCTTCTGCTTTTCAAATGAGGATGCTGAAGTGAAGAATAAGAGACAAGAGATCAAAGAATGCAACTGCCTCTAGCAGCTTACTTCTTGCTGCACTTCTGTATTTTATGTTTACTGTTAGAGATCAGGAATTCCCTAGGATTCTTCAATATACAGTAAATAACTTTCCAACAATTTAACAGTGTCTTTGTGGCAGTACCTATTTGTGCTACTTTTTTTGGCATTATGCATAAGAGGTTTGAGCAGTGAAAAAGTCTGCATGTGTAAGCACCTGTAGTATTTAATAATTGTTCCCTGAAGGCTGAGTTGAAAAGTACTCTTTATTACACTTCATAGATGGAGAAAAGTCATATTGGTAGAGCATTTTTGGTATGACAAATATGCTTACAAACAGTCTAAAAATTTAGCCATAGAACATATAATTGACCATTATTAGATACCTATACCTATTTGCATAGAAACAGATATATATATGCATGCATGTACGTATCTCAGAAGAAAGCTCCTATATAAAAAGTTTAAAATCATGGACTCATCAGTGTCAATAATAAAACTTCCATTGTCTTCATTTAGGTTAGATTTCAATCCACGCTCTGTAAAAAGTTGGCTGTAGAGGAGATCAAGGAAACAAAAGTCTTGCTGTGAACTTTAACTGCCAAGGTTGACCTGGCTAAATCTGAGGGCTCTTTCTCAGACAAGAGTTTAAAAGAGGATTTGGAAGATCTCCCCATAATGTGCTCTGAAAGCTCACATCCATAGCATGGAGAGAACAAACACAAATATGGAACTGACAATAGGCAACGGGCAGAAGAAAAGTTTAAATTGCTCTCAAGAGGCTTTAAAAGAGGTGGAGAGGTCGAGGACAACCTTTAAATAGCTCTATATAATGTTCTCCACTGACAAACTCTTCTGTCACTTCTGCTCCATACTCAACACTCAAACTTAGGACACTGTTTTCCCTTTGACACCAGCAGAAAATCTGTGTAACTCAGTTATAACTTCGAAAGTGCTCTGACATTGTTTTTATTCTTTTTAAACTAAGTAAGAACTATTTATTCTTTTTAAACTAAGTTTTTAAACTAAGTTACACACACTGAACTCACATTGAGGTCAGTGGAAGCTCTGGTCAGAAGACATCACACAGCCTTGCTCTAACATTTACGTGTCTTTTTTTTTTAACAGGATGAGATAGAAATGGATTGAGATTGACAGACAAATCAAATAAATGGATCACAAAAGGAGTTAGGTTTTCAGTACCATTGAAAAATTCCCTCTCATATCGTACATAAAATATTATGACATTAAAATAAAGAGAATGTAAAATAGTTAAATTCCCCATGGTAAAATAGTTACTGATGTCCGCTTATCTCTTTAAAAATTCTGCTTTACAGACTAAGATGACTCCTCTTTCCATGGAGTTATGAAGTAAGCAGTGACAATGGAATTTGAACAAAGCAGGCTGTAAATACCTATGGTCAAATAAAAGGGGCTAGCCTACAAACATCTACCACTTATAAAATGCCTTTCTCCTGCAGAAAAGTTTGCAGATGTGCCTTTCCTCCTCCCTGGATAATTGGCAATGGAATAAATTCTGTCTCAGATATGCTGACTATAGTAAGTCTGCCTTACTTGATTGCACATTTCTGATTTAGTCAATAACCCTATAAAATCTCCGAAGTGTCTTTCTGCAAAAGCTGAGGGGCTTCTTTGTGGGAATTACAGGCATATAACCATAGCAGACACAATTAGCCATTAGAATAAAATTAAATTTCAAGTTGGTTTCTAAATGCATATGGGCTGAGCTTATTCAGTCTTAACAAGGAAACCAAGCTTGAGAACAGCAAAACATTTTGGCCCTTGGCAAGATTGATTGCACACACTCGGGGATCTTATTTACATCAGGCACTCTAAAATGTAATGAACCACTTTACTGTTGTTGAGCTTTATAAAAGCTGGATTATGATACAGTTAAAAAGGAAATCTTCAGTTATACTGCCCCCTCCTTCTCTTACCTGAGACCAGTATTAACAACAACCATGTAAACAATAAGAATGTAGTTCAGTTTCATTAGATAAGGTCAAGAGAAGTCCTTGAGAACAAAGACTGGAATTTAATTATTTAATTATTTTACATTTCTATCTGCTGAAATTTCTCTTTTCTTCTCTCCCCCGTCCCCTTCAAAGCACTCCATAAACTTAATCAAATAAAGATATGAGCTCCTGCATCCTTACCCAGAGCTGGAACTTAGGAAAGACATCCTGTATATATGCTTTCATGTAAATTACTGTGCACATCAACATTTTTCATCCATGTGGCCCCAGTAAAATTATTCTTGATGGAAGGAGATCATCTGTCTAGACTATACCGTTGCCATCTCTTACATTTGAAGAGCTTAGATGGTGTGCATGTGGATGGCGTTTGGGGGTGTGGGGTTGTGGCTCATGTTAGCTTTTGTTCCCATTACTAATTTTTAAGAGATTCCATGAGAAGGTGTGCTAAAATTTTCCCTTCAAGCCTTCTACACTTCACTGGCAGAGGGCTCTGCCCTACACCTGACTTACAGCAATAAAACAGCATATAGCACATCAGCCGAGCTACTGTAACTGTCAGTGTGAGGTCATGCAAGGCATCCTCTTGTGCTCAAATGCATGATAAACTGCATCACCTTGCAACAGACATGGATAGAGAAGCATAGTGCAGCTGATAACAGTTTCTTAAGGAAATACACCTTGACTATGTGTGAACAAAATCACCAGGAATATTACCCTGCTTACATTTATACATCCTACTTTCTTCAGCCTATTTCTAGAGCTTGGTACCTGTTGCAAAGAGGGCAAGAAGAGTGAGTAAAGTTGCACATGTTTATGAAGTGGATGAGGTAGGCTGAGAAATGGATAGAGAAGCAATATACAGTGGTGAAAGAATGAGTTTCCACATGGGAGAGGAGTCGGTGACTTCAAGCAAAAGCCGTGATGAAGGAAGGTAGCACTACCCAAGTGACAGATCCGGTGAATGTACTGCAAGGTACTGCCTCTGTCATCTCATTCTACCCCTCTTTAAGCTGAGTTAGACAGGAACGCTGATGTGGCAAGAGCTGATGTCCTTGGCAGGAGTTTAGAAACTGCTCACTGTTCCTGAACTAACTACAAGAGGGGCTGAAAACTGATCCCTCTTTGCTTTGCCACACCAGTCTGTGCTGAACTTCCCGCTTCAGATCACTATCAGAGAACAGCGTAGGCTAGCAGAGCCCACAAGGCAGACTGCTTCTACAACGAATATGGTCACACTCAGATCATTATTAGCAACAAGGCCGTACAAAAAGTTCATTTAAATTTTTTTTTTCCATTATACCCTAACACCACATTGCCTGTATTGGCTGCGTATAGGATCTGGCCCCAGGACATTTCCTAAAAGGAACTTAGAAATGCTTGCGTACCATAAACAGCTTGGTGTAATACATATGGCCCTCACAAATATTTAAGAATTAATTTCAGAGGAAATATACATGAAAACTACAATTTATACACTTATGCTAGCAGCAAAGTCTCTACGAGACATAAACCAAAATTAATACTATTTGAGAAACATCCTTAAAGTTGCCTATTGATTTCGAAGTCAGTTTCCTGCAGGACTTCCAGCATAAATATTTTTTAATTTATCTGGCTGAAAATAAGGCTGCTGGCAGGTTTTCTGTTCAAGAATTTTTTTTGTTTACATTTTCCCTATTTTTTGTTTTCCTTGTCATTTATGATAAGAAAAGAAAATTCTAAAACTTGTTCGATGTTTTGTTCTGAAGGACTTAGTATTTCAGGCAATTTTAAATATTCTTCATTAATTCTCAAGAGATTTCTATTTCATTTTGTTTATTCTATTTTATCTATTACTTTTGCCTTATGGTAATATGACATTTTGGATAGCTTTGCTTCTTCTAGCTTCACAACAGCAGGAAGACTTCAACAGGTAACCCAGAATAGTTCAGTCCATGAACCAGTGGAAGAAAGGAAAAGAAAAAAAGTCTCACAACACACTTTCTATGCCAGGTGGCCTGGAATTTTAGTTGCTGCTTTGGCTAGTACATCCTGAAATAAATGAAACCTCTGCAATTTATTTTTAAGCCCTGAAATTTGATTTTACCATCAACAACCAGTAAAGAGAATGGGCTGCAGAAACTGCCTTAATATGTGGGTAGTTCACATCAGATGAATATCTGCACTATTGGATGCTTATTTGAACTGAAGCTGACCTCTGACTATTTGGACATATGCCTGTCACTGCTTTATAATCGCAAGTATAATAATAAAAAAGGAAATTGAATGAGAGGCAGACGTTGGTAATGGCAATAAATACAAGAGGTTGGAATATGTGTCAGAACCACATAAAGGATGTTTCTTAAATGACCTGGTTACTCATTCTGGGGAGGTGTTGCTAGCGTAAGTGAAAAGTGCTTATATTGTCAAAAATTGGAATGCAGCCCAGATACACAGGGATGTGTTCAGCTTGTCATTTGGAGCCTGGTCTATCAGGTACCAACAT